GGCTCATTCAGAACAAACTACCAAGACAAAGCATCTCCATCAATGCTCTTTACAAATGTAACAAAAAATTAATGTCACGATATTATGTAGGCATCACAATATTTGAAAAGATGTGATCTTAAAAAACCTACTCTATAATTCACACAATTAAACCTAATTAAAATTTACCAATGTACAGATTCACTATTGCACCTTTAAGGCAAAGGTAACTATCAGTTTATAGTAGACTTGAGCTGTACCTTTAGCTTGCAAAGGCCGCAACAAGAAGGTGGATATAAATGTTAATAATGAGTGTCCAAATGATAAATGTTGCAAAATCTCTGATGACTTCGAACATTGCAAAGGTAAAACTGTTTGACGATGTATAAACTCTTATTAGATACACAACACAAGAATTCATTGCAAAGAAAAAACAGGTATGCCCTAACTTAACTTAAGTAATGAATTAGAAATACATAAACATTATCATATATATGAAGTTAATATTTGTTCTCATTCAAATTACTTGTAAAGCTAGGTGCGAAAATAAAAGATGAACGAGCCCAAAGAAAGATAATAGCACGAGAAATTCAGGTCCAACTTGATATCATAATCGATGTAGATGATAAAAACACTACTCTAGAATTACCCTAGAAAAAGATAAAAGTGAACAATGTTTGATCTCGAATCAATCAAGAATGAAATAGAAAGAATAAAAGACAATATTTTCTTAATATTTTATAGAATAGTCTAATATTTTTGAGTAAAATTAGGAATATTTGGAAGACAATTTCATGAATTTTAAAAATATTTTTATATACTTATTCTGTGGACGTTTTATCATATAAAATTATACTATTGTTAGCATTAATATATAGTTTATGATTTTTAATGAAGTCTATCCATAATTATGAATAAAATACATATTCTCTTTTGTGCCATTTTAGCCTCTTCTAATCAATTGTCTAGGCTTATTAGCTTTAGTTATCCCTCTTGCTATTATAATGCTATTTTTTAAGTATTTTTTTCACTTTTTCAATACTATACTTCCTTAAGTAAATCTTCCTCTCATATCGATCTAAAAATCATGAATATCCAAATTGGCTTCACTTTGGTTTCGTGTCAATTCAATTATCAACATGAAACTTAAAATTGTGTGTAGCTCATTCAAACAAATATTAAAGAAGATAAATAATCACAATATTAAATTTTAGAGACATAAGTGAGTAAAAAATATCAAATTAAAATTGAAGAACAAATTTTAATAAGGAAATAAACTAAAAATAAATAATTATAATATTTAACCACGTGCAATGCACGTACATAAAAATTAGTGAGTTTAAAAATAAGAGTTGGAACTAATACCAGATAGCTATAGCTTTTAAATTAAAATTGGTTCATAACTTATGTTTAAGGCTCACTAACCCTTTATTGGGCTTGATCCCTCCCCCAACAATTTTACATTTTCTCTTATTCAGTCCGTTAAAACTTGCTGATTTTTGGTGCCCAATCACCAAACTCTAATGCTAATAGTAGTGTCAGTGTTACGACTCATTTCTGGCCAATTTGTTTAGTAAACTTGATGGGATTTTAATGCCATTTAATTTTACTGCCATTTAATCAGTGACCAAATCAGATAATTCATATATCTTTCCCACGTGAAAGATTAAGAATTACTTTAGTTGATGCCACGTTTAGAAAACACTTTTAACTTTTTTTTTGATGAACATATCGTATGCTTGCTCGTTTCCTATATCCATTAATCTCTATCCGCCCAAACAAATTCATTATTTAATCAGCACCACCCAAAATATTCAATTCCTAATTCAGCCCACCACGCAATCCGTCTCTGCCGCTGATGACTTGAAACAACTCACCTTGTCCCTAGCGTCGGTGAGAGGATTTTTCGTCGTTAGTCCTTTAATCTTTACTATCTTAAGCTCAGGCGCTCAGATTATTGAAATTACAAGTAGGACCCTCTGGGTTAAGTTATTCGCCGGAATCATTGAAATTTTAGTATTAGGTTTCTCAAGGATTCGGATCTTCCGAACTACAAAAGATAAGTAGAGGGACACCTACATTATCAAAATCATTAATTATTTAGTGGATGGTTATGAATTTTTCAGTGCAAATTAGGATGAGTACAATACATGTGGATATGACGGCGAACATTTTATTTAAAATAAATTATAATTAGTGATAAAATAATTAATTATTGTGATCAAAAGTACGTTACTGAAGATTTGGTGGACTTGGTGACCTTGATAACGCAGCAAATATTAGAAAGAAGAAGATTGCGAGGAGAAAAGTTCGGCTTTATGCTTTTTGTTTACTATCATGCATGAATAGAAAGAAAATGTTGCGTGTTCATTTTTATATTTCAAAATCATCAAATAACTGTTACCATGGAACATCTTCGAGATGGATAGCATGATTCTGTCCTGTGGCTCTTTCCATGGACCATTGCTCATGATCAAAGGGGGTGATTAGTTACTTTATTGTCATATCGTTTGTTGGTAGAGCGCATCTTGTAGGTCGAGTTATAATCAATGGCTTAGACATTGTTTGCCAACAAGAGATTGTGTCTTATTGACTTGGTCAATAAGCTAGTAGAGCTGTTTGGTGACAAAAAATAGGAGAAGATTATTTTGGAGATTGTGTTTTTTGCAAGTAGTTTTTGGAAAGCTACCTCAAGTAGCGTTTGTCTTTGGGAAGGATCTGCCAATTTTTTTCTTCCGTTAACATTAGGGCAAATGAAAGCTACTTCCCCACCCAAAAAACCCTAGCTTTTTTTCATTTCACGGCTTGTTTTTGGAAATGTATATATGAAAAACAAGTTTTGGATACTATATATATATATAACTTTCCTTTTCCTTACCCATATAAGAAAATATATAAAATAAGAAAAGAAATTAATTAATTAATAAGTAGGTATATAAATAAATAAATAAATGAGTATATATATATATATATATATATATGAGTGTTGAATAATTCTAATTTTATATCAATAATATTGCATGTTCTTTTTAGTCATTTAACAAATTTAAGCTAGTTGTACAATTACTTTTGCCAAATAGCTCTACTTCAATCAGCTAGCTACACGGCTTTCAGCTTTCAGCTATAATTTTACAGTTTTCAGCTAGCTTAACAGCTTTCAGCTATAATCTCGCAGCTTTTAGCTAGTTTTGCCAAACAGAACTTTAGTTTTTTTTTTAATTTGAGTATTTTACTAGTTTATTTTTCCAGTGTCTTGCGGCTATTTTCCACTATGGGGCTGTTCGTTTCGCAAAAAAAAGGGAAATCAAAGAATAGGAAACCTATTTCCTATAATAATTGTTTTGAGGTTGTTTGGTTGGTTTAAAAAAGAAGGAAATTATAGAATAGGAGATGAGATGAGATGAGTTGTCACATTATTATTGGATGATGTGAGTGATTTAAAAAAAAAATTTGTTTTGAGGTTGTTTGGTTGGTTAAAAAAATAAGGAAATGAATTGGAGGTATATTATTAGATGATGTTTGAGGTTGTTTGTGTTTGATTCATTTTTAAAAATAAGAAAATAGATGAGATGATATGAGTTGGAGGTATATTATTGGATGATGTGACACATACTTAAGGAAATCAATTTCTTATTTTTTTTTGAGGAAATAGATGGAAAGTTTTGTCAAAAAAAAGAAGAAATGGATGGAAAGAAAGGTTTAATGAGATGAGATGAGTTGTCACAATATTATTGGATGATGTGTGTGGCTTTTAAAAATGAGATAAGATGAGATGTGGTGAGTTGGATGATGTGACATATTTCTTGTGTTTGGTTTATTTTTAAAGGTAAGAAAGGAGATGAAATGAGATGAGTTGGATGAGAAAAATAATATTTTATTGGATGTTATGGGTGAGTTTTAGGGATGGAAATGAATAAAAATATTATTTTATTGATTTCCTTGTATCGATTTCCTTTTCTTTGATTTTAGGAAACCAACCAAACGGGCCCTATGGGTACGACATCTTTCGAGTGCCGAGCATTGCTCACGTCTCTTCCTTTTATTTGATGGGACCTATTCTCTGCCCTTTGCTCTGGCGGAGAAAGAAAAAAAGAAAAAGGGAAATGGAGTTGGGGGCCAAGGAGCAATTTAAATAAGTTCGAGAGACTTTTAATGTCAAAACATTCAAGATTTAATAAATCGACCAATATCCGGAAAATATCCAACCGAAAACCCGCTCCAAAGCTATATCCGGTCAATGACAAACGGGACCCAGAGAAACAGCGGCTGTCCACGTGAAAATCACGTGCTAGCAAAGAGACAAGGCCCGCGAACCATCCCAAAACGCATTGATGACGTTTTGTTCACCCCCTCCGCCCCATCGCACAAAGCCGGACAAACCGCCGTAAATATTACGATCTCGCCCGCCTTTAATCCAAACCCCCACACAATGCCCCCCTTTTAAAGCCCTCCCAACGAAAGCGGCCACTTGTTTAGCCAACGGAATCAAACCCCCCAAAAAAAAACTAAAATGAAGCGCCCCTCGTGCGCGCCTCGCCGAATCGATCGCAGATTCCCAAAAGGCTCAAGTGTTCCAGAACAAGGGAGGGGAGGCCCTGTAACCTTACCGCCGGCAGCGGGCGTTCGCGCGCCTGCATCTGGCGAGGCACTCGTCCTCGAGATCCTGAAGCGCGCGGACGCGAAACGCTGGCGCGCGCGGCGTGCGCTGAGCGGCGGTGGCGCGAGGATGCACGCGAGGACGAGAGGATCTTGGCGAGGCGGTGCTGCCACGCGCACTGGGCAGCCACGGCTGCGGCGGCCCACAGCTGCGGGCCGTGGCTGCTGTGCGCCTCGGCGGGCTTCAGCGGCTGCACTCCCGTCTACTCCTGCCCGCTTGCTGCAGCTCGCCACGTGCCAGGCCCGAGGGCATTCCCGACCCTGCCGCGTGCGCCGAAAGCGGGCCCCACGCTGCCGCGGCGGCGAGGTGGGGCATAGGACGGAGCGTGCCAGCTGTCGATGGCGCCGCCTGTCGATTGGGGTACTTTATGCAACGGTTAATTTTGCGCAGCGATTAAGAAGGGATCGGGATCGGGATTGGGAGAGAGATAGGTTGGATTTGGTCTCGTGATTGATTTATGTATAATTATTTGGGGTGTGTGTGCGCGTTTGTTTCCCCCCCTTTCCCTCCCCCCCTACGAATTTGACTAAATTAGAGTTGTGTGTGTAAGTTTGTACGAGACTATTATCTAACGTTATTTTCTTGAACTGAGAAATAATGGAAAGTAGATGAATTTGAGACTTGATGGGGGGGATTTTTGCAATCCTTGTTGTGGATAGCAATTATCCTCTTTTGTCCTCTAGCTGCATTTGACCGCTCTACAAGGCGGCCTTGTGTGGTTTTCTCCCTTGAACAAAATTACAAAAGTTTGGGTGCTTTCTGTTAAATTTGGTATTTTTTTTTATAAAATTTATTTGGTGGTTTTGAAGAAGGAAAGAGAGACACCTACTCCTGTTACTTTCTTCCCAAGCTTTTGTAATCTTGTGACAGCTAGTTTGTATAATAAAGCGCGGGTTGATTGGTGATTAATGAACGATCATGTGATTAGTGTTAGTTAATCCCGAGCTCAGCTCTTTTAATCTGGAGCTGCTGATAAGGAATCTTATATAGGGCCGGCCTAGGGAGTGGGGTGCATTATTGAGGGGAAGCGGACAAAGAGAAAGCCGAAATAATGGGTGGTGTGCGTAAGTTGAAGAAAGGGACATCCTCCTTTTTTGTGTAGAAAACAAAGGCAAAAGGAGGGGAGCGGGTTTTGGGTTTTAGCGGCGGATTTGGAGTTTTGCGCCCGTTAAGGACAGAGGAAGGGACGGAAAGGGACTGGTTTCTCGCTTGAGGAGAGCGTGATGGTTCTCTCTTGGGCTACAAGGAATTTGTGGACGAGAGCGCCTGAGCTTTTGAGGGGTTGATTAGCTGCACCCATGGTTCCTTTGAATAGAAAAGTAAAAGCACCAAGCAAAAAGAGAGAGAGAGAAAATAAACAATACCCATATTTTTAATTATTAAAGAAATATATTGGCTTTTGAAAGCACTTCATTTTGGCCCACCGCCGGTGATCCGGGCGGTTGGAAAGTTTTAACTACTCTCACCTTCCTAGATTAGATTTCATGCTGAATTATCATTTAAGAGCCCGTTTGGTTTTCATTTTTGAGTCGCGAAAAACTCTTTCCTCCTTCTGTCAACCGCGCCACCTCGACAAAACCCATTCTAGGGTTTTCTTTTCTCTGCTTTGGTTCGCTTCTTCCCCTCGTCCCTCCAACCGCAGAAATCTCCTCCACCTCAGCTCTTCGTCTTTCCCTCATTTCCTTCGAAAACGAGAGAAAATCACCGAAAATCTGTACTCTTGTCATATCTGCAGTTTTTTGGGGAAAAACTTGTTGAGGGTTAGGGTCACCACCGCTTTCCCTCGCTTTTTTCACTCTTCACGCTATGATTTCTCTCTGATGCCTGCGGGAGTTCTAAATTGTTGATTCCGTGCTTGATTTTCATATTTATCAAGCCTCAGTTCCTCAAATTCGTTGTTTTTACTGGATCTTGCTAAAAAGGTACCGCCTTTATTAGGAAATTTCGTGTTTTTTTGTTGGATCTTGCCGGATCTTGCTATACTTCAGATCTAAGGTATGATTTAATCTCCATTCGGAATTGATTTTTTAAAAATTTCGTATGATCTATAATTATTATGATGAAAATTTGTATTTTCTATAATTATCTGAAAATTTCATGCTCGTAAATTATCTAAAATTAACTAAAATTATCTAAAATTAACTGAAAATATTATCTGAAATTAGTTGTATCTTTTGGGTTTTGTTGGTGTTCAGTTTTGTGTTCAGGTTAATATTGGTGTTTAACTTAGTTTTGTGGGTGTCATGTGCTTCCTTCAGCTGTGTTTCCTGATTCATTTTCATTCAGCTGTGTTTCCTGATGCTGGTTAACATAAAAAAATAGTGAGACTTGTTTGTGGGTTACATGTATTCATGTTGCTTTGCATATTGTCGTCGGTTGTGTTTCCTGATTCACATATTCATGCTGTGTTGTTGCTGATTACATGTATTCATGCTGGTTTCCTTCAGCTGTGTTTCCTAATGCTGTGTTGTTGCTGGTTACATGCATTCAGTGGCCAACCTGTCTATATCTTTGGTTTCTTTGCATATTGTCCTTGGTCCTTTGCAATGATCAATAATTTCTTTATTTGAAAGCAATATCATTGTGTTATTTGGGCTGTTTAATTTCAAGTATTTATACACAAAAGCTGATGGTTGAGAAACATGAATGTATTATAGGTTATGCCTGACATGAGTTTTGTAGCGTTGAACTATTTAAATCAGTGGCTTTGCAGCTTCAAAAAATTGTGACTTTCTTGCGAGAACTGAGAAGGATAATCTTGAGTGGTGCTTCCTGTCAAAAACAGGTAAGCTCCTAATCCAATTTGTTATAAACTTATAGCAATATCCTTTCTTGCATCTAATTTAAGAACTGACACTCGTGCTTCAGTACATGAATCTTACTTGTGCGTGTTGGATATCTTGACCCCAAGATATGTTTGTTTGATGATAACAAATATTATATGTTATGTGTATTTTGTGCTAACTTATGTTTTGCAGTATCAGAGTAAAATCAACAATAATATTCAAAGAGATACTCAAGACACAAGGCAATACAAGGCAATTGAAGTTGATACAAGGCTAATTGGAGATGAAATAAATCAAGATGCTTCAATAATATAATTGTATTTTGGGATTTCTTTCATTGGGTAGAATCTTTGTTAAAAGCCATGATCACACACACTAAACATACACGCGCATAGTATTTAGAACATACTAACACATGATTAGTGTGTGGTTAACTATAGAAATCCCCTAAGGGCTTGTTTGGATTGAGAGGAACAAGAGAGAAGGGAAGTTAGGGGAACTATTCACCTTGTTTGGGAACATTTAGGAGGTGAAGTTATTCACCCTAGTTCCCCTTAGTTCACCCCTTAATAGTATACAATTTGTTACCTCCCAAATTGGGGTGTAACCATAGGGAAGGGAACTCTCTTTCCTTTCCTTCTCTTCTCTTCTCTCACCTAGTTGTTAGACCCTAGAGGGGGGTGATTAAGGTCTTATGCTAATCTAATCCGATTTTATGCCAATTAAAACTAATTAATAAGTTATTCTTGTAAGATAGATATACAATGTTTTATAAGCAAGAATAAGCAATATGAACAAAAAGATATATCCTAGCAATGAGATATACTATGAGATATATGCAATGATATACAAATTAACACAAGGGTGAAGTCCCCTCGGGTTGAGATCCGACAGGCTCTGAGACAGCAGCAGAAGAGGGTACATCAGCCCCTGCAGGCGGATTACTCGCACCACTCGGCAAAGGCGGGGAGGCACCATTGCTATGAAGGCTTTCAGCCTCAGCCCTGGGAACTGTAGTGGTATCGGGCCCAACGCCCAGTCTTACAGTGACACTTCTATGTTAGGCAAAGGGAAATTTGGACAAATAAGGAGAATCGGGACAAGAAAATCGTATGCATACCTGCAATCCCCCGTCCTCAGATACAGCCGGGATGCCAAGAGTCATAAGAGTATCGGCCCAAGCGGCTGGTCCTATGGACTCTAGACGTGTCTCCCTCAAGTGCTCGGATACAACCTCTCCCTAGGTTCATCAACCGACGCCACTCCTCTTGAGACGATCACCGACTCACACCACACACTTCTCTCGGTGTACAAGTGTATTACAAAGTGATCTCACAATAAAGCACAATCGACTCACACCACACACTTCTCTCGGTGTACAAGTGTATTACAAAGTGATCTCACAATAAAGCACAATTTTAACAATTGTTTGTTCTCTAATATCGATGAGAACACAATGAAAGCTCACACTCAATTGTTATAACTCTCACCAACCCAAATACTATGTATGAAAATACGATAAGCTCAAGTGGGTGTGTGTAAACAATGAGTGAAATAAAATCTAACTCAAATAGCAAACTAGCAATAATAAGAATATGAAAATCAATAATAAAATTGCTAGAGAAAAGAGTTAGAAAAACTTTTCTATAAACACAAAGGAAAGGATGAAGAAGATTGAGAATGAATCCCTCAATTTGCAACGTAAGCTTCCTCCTTTGTAAACAACAATCCCAAACTTAAAACAAACTAAAACTCTTTTAAAACTTCTTTAAAACATTCTCTTAGTTGTTGCTGGTAGAAGGGAGTTTGAGGGTTTATATAGGAAGAGAAACCAACAGCAAAAATCCCAAACAAAAGACCAAAAACCCCAACGAATCAGAAATCTGATTCTGTACAAAATATGACCGTTGGGCGATCGGCTGTCGACCGTAGAAAAATCGCGGTCGACCGCGAGCAACAAAAAAAACAAAGAAACGTCTAAAGCTCGAGAAGATACTTTCAGCAAAAACGAGAAGTCTTCCTTCCCCATGCTTGAGGAAAATGACATTGGATGTAGATGTACCTGAATAAGGGACAGTGGGCTCGACATTATTCATCTGCTCAAGATCGATGTTTAGGTCGATGCCCAAAGACCCGTCATGAAGGGCGTCACACATCTGTTGAGAGCATCCGATCGACCGTCACGGTCGATCGTGAGCCTCTGAAAAACTTTCTGAGTCTCTGGACTCAAGGGCGGTCGACCGCAAACAGATATATGAAAATGACAGGTTTGAAACAGTTTTTTAATTTTAAAACCCTATTTAAAAATATTAAACAAATTCCAAAAAAAGTAAAACTTTGAGAAATGATTGTAGACATGATAATACACATGCTACAAAAACTAGTTTTCAAAAAGGACCTCCCAAATGTAAAATATCATTATTTTGCAAATATGTTCAAAACATGAAAACATGAGATACTTGAATTTTGATGTTTTGACATAAACCAAGTTTTGAAACTTTATAAAATAATTTTATAGACTTGATAAAAAATATAAAATGTTGTTATGAAGTCTATAAACTAGAAACTCAAATATGTATATATATTTACAATATTGAGTTTTGACAAAATGATAAATATGAAACATATATGTATATATATATATATATATATATATATAACTATATATATAGCTCATGTTGCTTTGCATATTGTCGTCGGTTGTGTTTCCTGATTCACATATTCATGCTGTGTTGTTGCTGATTACATGTATTCATGCTGGTTTCCTTCAGCTGTGTTTCCTAATGCTGTGTTGCTGTCTGCGTTACATGCATTCAGTGGCCAACCTGTCCTATATCTTTGGTTTCTTCCATTATTGTCCTTGGCTCCTTTGCAATGATCAATAATTTCTTTATTGAAAGCAATTTCATTCGTGTTATTTGGTCTGTTTAATTTCAAGTATTTATACACAAAAGCTGATGGTTGAGAACTAATGTTTATAGGTTATGCCTGACATGAGTTTGATAGCGTTGAACTATTTAATATAGTGGCTTTGCAGCTTCAAAAAATTGTGACTTTCTGCGAGAACTGAGAAGGATAATCCTTGCAGTGTGCTTCTCTGTCAAAAACAGGTAAGCTCCTAATCCAATTTGTTATTAAACTTATAGCAATATCCTTTCTTGCATCTAATTTAGAATTGACACTCGTGCTTCAGTACACATGAATCTTACTTGTGCGTTTGGATATCTTGCCCCAAGATATGTTTGTTTGATGATAACAAATATTATTTATGTTATTTATTTTGTACTATATGTTTTGCAGTATCAGAGTAAAAATCAACAATAATTTCAAAGAGATACTCAAGACACAAGCAATACAAGGCAATTGAATTTGTTACAAGGTTATTGGAGATGAAATAAATCAAGATGCTTCCAATATATAATTTTATTTTGGATTTCTTTCATTGGGTGGAATCTTGTGTTAAAAGCCAGATCACACACACTAAACATAGACGCGCATAGTATTTTAACATACTAACACATGATTAGTGTGTGTTAATATAGAAATCCCCTAAGGCTTGTTTGGATTGAGAGGAACAAGAGAGAAGGGAAGTTTAGGGAACTATTCACCTTGTTTGGGAACATTTAGGAGGTGAATGTAATTACCCTAGTTCCCTTAGTTCACCCTTAAGAATATACAATTTGTTACCTCCCAAATTGGGGTGTAACATAGAAGGGAACTCTCTTTCCTTTCTTCTCTTCTCTTCTTCACCTAGTTGTTCAGACGCCTAGAGGGGGTGATTAAGGTCTTATGCTAATCTAATCAGATTTTACGCAATTAAAATATTAATAAGTTATTCTTGTAAGATAGATATACAATGTTTTATAAGCAAGAATAAGCAATATGAACAAAAGATTATCCTAGCAATGAGATATACTATGAGATATATGCAATGATATACAAATTAACACAAGTGAAATAAACATAAAACAAACAGAGTGATAGTGGTAAATAAACAATGCAAACACACAATATGATCACGGAGTTCGGACCTTCCGCTCCTACGTTCTCGCTCCCCACTCCCGGAAGAAATCCACTATCACAACCGGAGTTTTCTACGCTTACGCGAATAACGTTTACACCTCACACTCGGTTTTCTAGCTAACCGAAAAACTTTACAATTAACCTCTTGCAATCCCACTCTGCAACCTCTCAAGTGTGTGGACTCTAGACGTGTCTCCTCAAGTGCTCGGATACAACCTCTCCCTAGGTTCATCAACCGACGCCCTCTTTGAGACATATCACCGACTCACACCACACACTTCTCTCGGTGTACAAGTGTATTACAAGTGATCTCACAATAAAGCACAATTTAACAATTGTTTTTCTCTAATATCGAGAAACACAATGAAAGCCTCACACTAATTGTTATAACTCTCACCAACCCAATACTATGTATGAAAATACGATAAGGCTCAAGTGGGTGTTGTAGTAAACAATGCTGAAATAAAATCTAACTCAAATAGCAAACTAGCAATAATAAGATATGAAAATCAATAATAAAATTGCTAGAGAAAAGAGTTAGGAAAAACTTTTCTATAAACACAAAGAAAGGATGAAGAAGCATTGAGAATGAATCCCTCAATTGCAACGTAAGCTTCCTCCTTTGTAAACAACAATCCCAACTGAAACAAACTAAAACTCTTTTAAAATTCTTTAAAACATTCTCTTAGTTGTTGCTGTAGAAGGGAGTTTGACAGGTTTATATAGGAAGAGAAACCAACAGCAAAAATCCCAAACAAAAGACAAAAACCCCAACGAATCAGAAATCTGATTCTGCTTACAAAATATGACGTTGGGCGATCGGCCTGTCGACCGTAGAAAAATCCGCGGTCGACTCGCGAAGCAACAAAAAAAACAAAGAAACGTCTCTAGACCGTGGCGGTCGACCGCCGGCGGTGGATCGCGAGAGCATCGATCGACGTCACGGCTCGATCTGAGCCTCTGAAAAACTTTCTGAGTCTCTGCGACTCAAGGGCGGCTCGACCGCAAAAGATATATGAAAATGACAGTTTGAAACAGTTTTTAATTTAAAACCCTATTTAAAATATTAAACAAATTCCAAAAGTAAAACTTGAGAAATGATTGTAGACATGATATCACATGCTACAAAAACTAGTCTTTCAAAAAGCGACCTCCCAAATGTAAAATATCATTATTTTGCAAATATGTTCAAAACATGAAAACATGAGATACTTGAATTTTGATGTTTTGACATAAACCAAGTTTAACTTTATAAAATAATTTTATAGACTGATAAAATATAAAATGCTTGTTATGAAGTTAATAAACTAGAACTCAAAGTATATATATATTTTACATAATTGAGTTTTGACAAAATGATAAATATAAACATATATGTATATATATTATATTATATATTATTATATATATATATATATATATATATTATATATAATATATTTATATATGAGAAATATGGAGAAACTTGGTACCAAGTTTCTCCATTGAACTTTGATAGTGACGTGGCCAAATTCCCACCCTACATCACACCTTGAAGAGAGAGCATCAATCACTATTCATCTACTTTTAAAAAAAGGCTCCATTTCAAAGTGTGATCTATAGGGGGGATATTGGCCACCTCACTACAAGT